CGCGGGCCCCAGCGGCGGGGGCCGGGCCCCGCGCCGCCCGCGCCGCCGCCACGCAGCGCTCCTGCACCCGCAGCGCCTCCGCGAACGGCACCGGCCCCAGCAGCAGCACCCGCACCGGGGCCCCGGACATGGCGACATAGGGACCGGCCCCCGCAGCCGCCGGGGCCGCCGGGAGCCGTCGGGCGGGGCGAGCGGAGAGGAGGGAGAGGAAGGAGAGGAGGGAGGGAGAGATGAGGGAGGGAGTTTTGGAGGACGGTGAGGAGGGGATGGGGGCATGGGCAGGGGGACAGGGACAGGCAAGCGGATGGGGACAGGCAGCGGGCTGGAGACAGGAGGCGGGGATGAGAACAGGAGGCGGGGTTGGGAGAAGAGGCGGGGATAGGACAGGAGTGCAGGCACAGGGACAGGCAAAGGGAGAGGCAGTGGGGATGGGGATAGGGGGTGGGGGACAGGAGTAGGGATGGGAAAACAGGGCAGAGGGGACAGAGGTGGATGGGAAGGAGTGGTGGGGGATGGGGAAAGGATGGAGGACGGCAGTGCGGGGAGAGGGGACAGATATGGGAGACGGGGACAGAGGTGGAGGATGAGAGAGTGGACAGGAAGATGGAGGATGGTGGTTTGGGGTTGGAGAGTGAGACAGGGCCTGGGGACATGGGACATGGTCTGAGAGAGGGTAGTGGGGCCTGCAGTGGGGTATAGAAGACAGAGGATAGGAGGCTGGGGAGAGGGAGCTCGTGCCCAGGGACAGGGGTTAGAGATAGAGGACAGGGCCTGGGGAGGGGGGATAAGGCACAGGGTGAATTTGAGGGGCCTGGGGGTGGTTGATAGGGCCACAGGGAGGAGAGAGGTCCCCTGTCACCATGGGGTGTGGCACATAGGGCATTAGGGTGGGGGGTGGGGTGAGGGGGGCACAGCACACAGACAGGCAGGGAGTGAGGGCAGGGCATAGGGACACGGTGTCCTGTTGGGGCTGGGCAATCACAGACCTGCTCAAAGTGGGATAAAATTAGGATTCAGGGCTAAAATCAGGATAGTTGTGGATGCCCCAACACTGGCAGTGTTGAAGGTCAGGCTGGATTGAGCAACCAGGACTAGTGGAAGGTGTCCCTGCCCAAGGCAGGGGGGTGGGACTAGATCTTTACGGTCCCCTCCAACCTTTAACATTCCATGATTCTGGGATTGCACCTCAAGGTCATGGACTGTAAATGAGGTCCTTGTATTGCCAAGGTGCTGGTGTGAGATGCATTTGGTCACCTGGGGACTGGGAAAGAGATAAAATGTTCCCGTCTAAGGTTTTTATTCCAAATGTAGAAAATACTCAAATCTGGTTGAACTGCTAATGAGTCAACCATTAAATCCTGAGCAAACTGTTCCCAGCCTACAAAACTTCCACCTTATCAATGAGATTAAGCGTGTGAAAGTATGTTTTGATTTTATAGAGCAATCGACTCTGTTAATAAACTCTTGTTTTTATCAAAAAACTGGGCTGGTAATCTGCCCTTTGTCACCGTAGGTCTGTTGTCTGACAAGGTTAATTTCTCTGTTGCTGGCAAGGAAGGGAAAGTGTTCCCTTTGTGCAGTCATTTTCTTGATAAAAAGGGGGGGAAAATTGGGGAAAAAGACAGCATAAACCTCACCAGGTGGTCATGTCAATGCATGGAGCAGCACCCACCTTGGGAATCCTACCCAAGGTAGGATTATCACCTCAAACAACCTCAGGAGAGGGGCTCTGGGTCTCTGCCCTTGGCAGGAGAGACTCGTACTTTGCACCAACATTGTGTGTGTAGCGGGTTATTTCCTTTTTTTTATGACTAAGCCTCAACTTTTTGCCTGGAGATCAAAGCCAAGGGCTCTTCCTTTTTGGCTGGTTGCAGCACTGCCTGCGTAGGATGAGGAGGGTTGTGTGTCACAGGTCTGGGATCCTCGTAAACAGGACGACAGAGGGGAGCGTGGTTGTGTCACTCGGGTAATTACTGTCAGTATCCTGCTTTTGAAGCAGGGAGGAAATTTGTATGGAAGGGAACCACAGATGGCTCACATTTTATCCTTCTGTCACAGTTTGAGTGGTTTTAAAGTGGTGGTGTGGGGGGGTGTTTGTCTTCATATCATTTGCTGTTCTGTCATACCTTTTCCTTTGGGTACCTTAAACATTAGCCAACCCTCTTCAATCCTCACCAATTCCTTGGATTGAAGAGTTTTTCTGGCAGGGAAGCTTTTGAGCTAATGCAAGTCAGGGCTTAATAGCAGGAAGGGGAGGGGAGGACAGAGGTGGTGGCTATGAAACAGGTGCCTGGCAAGAGGGACTGTCAGAGCTTACAGGGAGCTACAGACAGATGCAAAGGGCAACATCTTGGCTCCAGTGAAGTCTGGGATGAAATTCCTGTTGAGTTTGGCAAGGCTGGGATGTCAGAGGTGACAAGAGCTGCGTTGGCGTCACGGGCAGAGCTGGGAGTGGAGTGCCCAGACTGGTACAGTAGCTCCCTCCCCACAAGTCTTTCAGCAAAATCTCTTTTTTTTTTCAACGAAAATGTACTTGAGGGCTGCATGCACTGCTTGCATGTACTAATGACATGGATTATTGGAAATGGGCAGGAGTTCAATGGATGGGCTGGAGCCCAGCCGTGATATGGGCCCACAGGCTCAGGAGAAGCAGCTTATCCCAAAGTAGCATCCCTGGTCATGTTTCTGGAATCATCACTGCCTGCCTTCCTTCTCCCATAGGGCTGGAAGGAGCTCAGAAGTCACCCTTCAGCCTCATGGGGTTTGATCCTGGCTAGTCATTCCTGATATCCAGCTGGGTCTCCAAGACTTTGGGTGATGGAGAAGCCTCTTGGCTTGGTGCAAACAGAGGTGCTGCTGGGAAGCCTCAAGCTATGGACTGATTTTTCCTTGATCCAATGACACCAGGTCCCCATGTGATACCTCGGAAGCATCAACCAACCTCCCTGCAGAGAATACCAGCATCAATCAAGTCCTGCAAGCACCAGCTACCAGCCCTGCAGTTATTTAGAAGGACATTTTCACTACATGTTATTCCAGAAAAAACCTTTCCCTAGGGGTGTTGTGAGGGAATCTCTCGGGCTGAGATCCCCATTTCATTTGGGCAGGATCTCGGTGGATGTGTCCCACTGGCAGAACCACTTCTGCCCCTTCAAGCTGTTCATTTACTCAAAGAAGCACGTTCCCAAAGCTGTGCCAGAGGGGAAGAAAAACAAGGAAACACACGTGTCAGGCTGTGCCGAGGGCTGTGCACCACAGGGTGCATTAAGGAAGTACTTAAGGAAGCTCCTTGCTGGCCTAGGGAGACAGGTCAGAGCCCGTGCGTGTTTCTGTGCTGATTGCACTTCTCCTGGCAGTCGTCATTTTTTGGCCCACCTTGCAGCCAACGTGGCAGGCTCCAAGATCCTCCAAGTTTCCCGTGCCAGCAGGAGCTGTTTCCACTCACAGAGCTTGGATGCATTGTTTGTCCTGCATCAGTACTAGTGAAGATTCTCTCATCTCAGGTTTGTCCTCAGCTGCTGGCCAGACCCCCTGCCAGAGGTCACCCTGCCAGGGGTCACCCTGCCCTCTGGACAACCAGCACAACTCCACAGACAAGCCAAAATCATCCCATTTGGGTTAAACACTCCTCAAAGTGTTTTTAAGAAGGATCCGCTGGAAGAGCTCAGGGGAGGAATGGCCAGACTTTGGGGACAGCAGCTCCAGAAGGGACACCGGAGGAATGTCCAGGTGCTGCCTCCAGGTCTGGGACACCCAACATCAGAACAATGTGGAGCTGCTGCAGTGAGTCCAGAGGAGGCCATGGAGATGCTCCAGGGGCTGAGGAGCCAGGCTGGGAGAGTTGGGGGTGTTCAGCCTGGAGGAGAGAAGGCTACGGGGAGGTCTTAGATCACCTTCCAACACCTAAAGGGGCTCCAAGAGAGCTGGAGAGGGACTTTGGACAAGGGCCTGGAGTGACAGGACAAGGGGAATGGCTTCCCACTGCCAGAGGGCAGGGTTAGATGGGATATTGGGAAGAACTTCACCCCTGTAAGGGTGGTGAGGCCCTGTCACAGGTTGCCCAGAGAAGCTGTGGCTGCCCCATCCCTGGAAGTGTTCAAGGCCACGTTGGATGGGGCTTGGAGCAATGTGATCTAGTGGAAGGTGTCCCTGCCCATTGCAGGGCATTTGGAATGGGATGATCCTTAATGTCCCTCCCAAACCAAACTATTCTGGGATTCTAATAACTTCTCCCTACATCCCGTTCGAAGCTCCCTTATTTTAACTTATGCCATATAGGTCCCTCAGAGTATAAAGCAGATATGAGTGACATCAGAACTAGATTCCATAGAATTTTAATAAAGAGGAAAGAAATCCTCAGCTAGAGGATTTTTATCTCTTATACTCATTCTTACCCTTAAAGCCAACCTGCAGTACCAAGGCACACACTGTGCCCTGAGGGTGAAAAGTGTAATTTTACAGTTCTCAGCCACAATCACCCACGTCAGAAAACCCTCCAGAAACCTCAAAGCAGGAAACTTAAAGGAAGAAAGAACAAAAGATGAAAAGAGAGACTTTAAAAAAAAAAAAAAAGATGAGTAATTCATTTAAGACCTGAACACGAGAAGGAAATGTCAAGCCAGGAGCAGAATGTCACAGTACAAGAATAACTACAGTGAAACAAAGAAAAAGAGACAACAAGAGTGTGAGAGAAGGTGCCTGGGACACAGGAGGAAGAGGATGTATATAATTTTCTTACCAGCAAAACAAGCACGATGCCAGCTGAGCAACGCCATTGTTGTGAGGACTAGAGAAACACCCCAGCACTCCAGGGCCATGTGCGTCACGTGAGTTTATTTTAACACTTATTAAACATGGGCAATTTCCTTCTCTGACATTTGCCAGGTAAAAAAACTGTTGCATTCAAGTGAGGATCTGCATCCGCCTGGAGTTCTCAAGAAGTGAGTGACTTCGCCTAGGACAAGGAACACTCCTGATAAATGTGGCTACTCTCAGGTGACATCACTGCCTGCACTCCCGTTGGGCCACCACAACCCCCTGCAGCACCCCAGGCTGGACACAGAGTAGCTGGAAAACTGGAAAAGTCCCTGGAGGTGCTGGTTAACAGCAGCTGAACATGAGCCCAGGTGT